GTATCTCAATTATTTCCTTTGAAAAGATATGTAAGGAGAGGATATTTACACATTGTTATGGTATAATTGATGTCAGTAAAATGGTTGGCAGGCTGTTAGCATTTTGCAGAGAGAAGAATGTGATAGAGCGTGTACTGTGTGCTGATGTGGGCAGCACAGGAAACTAATATCTCTAGTAGGTTTAAACAGTTTGACTAGTGATTACTTGCCTGAATTTGTAAGCTTAGCTAGCTTCTTTATTTCCTTTGAAAAGATATGTAAGGAGAGGATATTTACACATTGTTATGGTATAATTGATGTCAGTAAAATGGTTGGCAGGCTGTTAGCATTTTGCAGAGAGAAGAATGTGATAGAGCGTGTACTGTGTGCTGATGTGGGCAGCACAGGAAACTAATATCTCTAGTAGGTTTAAACAGTTTGACTAGTGATTACTTGCCTGAATTTGTAAGCTTAGCTAGCTTCTTATTTGGGCATCTAGAAAGTACATCTGTGAACCAACAGCCATTTCTTACAAATCCTGTGAGAGAATTTCTAGAGCACATGAGTATGTTTGATACTTTGCTTTGTCAAATATAACTTAGAAATAGTCAAACAGGATTCTTGGTGTTAAAGTTGCTATTTAGACACATCAACAGAGAAGCGGTTAGATTTTCCTGCTGTGTGTTTAAAACCAGCAAATTCTTGGAATTGAAATTTTGGTTGATTCTGCAGGCTAACGAATGGGTTAATTACTGTTCAGGCTCCAAACAGATGGACTGTATGTACACTTTGGGAGATTATTGAATTCTTGAAACAGTGTCTTATAAAAATAAACTTTGAAAGTCATCTCTGTACGCAGCTTCGTCTCTGCATGCAGCTCTGAATGTCTCAGCATGCCTGATGCTTAATTTCCTTACGTACTGCTTTATTGTCCCAAGATATCTAAATTTCAGGAAATTTTAGCTGCAAGTCTGAGTCATGTAGTTCTGATAGTGGAAAAAAGATCTGTAATGGTTCACCTCCTTTACACTTTTAAATCATGTCAGGATCAATGCAGTTATTTTAAAACCATAGCACATGGGTTGGTGTCTTTTCTAGCCTGTGTCACTTAAAAAGTCTTTTCAGTCCTTTTTCTGTTGAGCTTCTTGGTGTGCTAATGCTGCAGTGTATTTACTATTTTATTGACATTTATCACTGCTTCAGCAAGAGCTTGTTGGATATGGGAATATGCTATAAAAACCCAAGCTTTACATTGAAACAAATCAGTTTCAAGTCTGTTGCTTGCAAATTCCTGACTGTAGCACTCTATTTTCCCCCTTTTTTGCCCCCTCCCCCATAATGGTGGTGAGCAGTAGTATTTGGTTTTGTATCGCTGATAGGAGGTAAAGTGGTGAAGGAGGTTTAAATCAATTCAAATTCTGAATTATAAATCACTCTGTTTCCCCCAGTGTGGTTTTTAGAGTCCCAACGTCAGTATTTGAGTTGAATACCTTAATTTATGTTGCTCATTTTTAGCTAAACATAGAGAACTTTTCTATTTTATTTACTTTCCCATTTACCAACCTTTAGACTACTTTGATATCCTTTTTATAGTGGATTCCTTGTATTTATGGTAGAAAACTATGGTCTGAAAAAACACTTTAAGGGACATAAGATACAGTAAATCCTCTGATTTAGGACTACTTTGATATCCTTTTTATAGTGGATTTCTTGTATTTATGGTAGAAAATTATGGTCTGAAAAAACACATTAAGGGACATAAAAGATACACTATATCAGAGGATTTACTGTACAGTATTTTTGTGTTTCTGGGTGTTTTATAATATTCAACCCAGCAAATCTTTGTGATGTGAATCTTCAGCGCGTTAGTGGATTACCCCCATTTAGTGCTGCTCCCTCCCCCCAGTCATCTGAAGGTACCAAATCCTGCTCAGATCGTGCTCTTAGCTCTGAAGAACTGAGAAGCCTTGGCACAAAATTGAGTCAGCTTGATCTGGAGTGTGCATGTAGTTGCCTGTATCTTTCAGAAGCAGGAAAAAGCTTTTTGGTCTGGTTTTTCTTATTATCTCACAAATGATACAGAAATTTTTCAAGCAGTGAGGTCTCAACAGTCTCTTTTCTTCCAGTGCTCAGGGATGAGAGTTTTCTGATTGTGTCTGAATTTCTTTATCAACTTTTTGCCTTCTGTTCAGTGATCCTCTGGTATGGGTACTGCAGTTTTCTTGGAAGAAAGGATGTCTTCAAAATATGTGAAAGAATGCAAAAATGTCAATATTCTCATGTAGCTATATAAGTTTTTATGTATTAGTTTATATTTTAGTTCGAGTAGTGATACTGGAGTAAACAGACTGAGAACTTTTTGCCTTCTGTTCAGTGATCCTCTGGTATGGGTACTGCAGTTTTCTTGGAAGAAAGGATGTCTTCAAAATATGTGAAAGAATGCAAAAATGTCAATATTCTCATGTAGCTATATAAGTTTTTATGTATTAGTTTATATTTTAGTTCGAGTAGTGATACTGGAGTAAACAGTCTGATGTGCTGGGGACTCAAGGATGCTACTGTGTTCCTCAAGTCATTTGGAGAGCAGTTGGTAAAATCCCTTCCGTACACCGCCTTTACACCACCCTGTGCCCCTGGGATTACACTTTGATTGGAAAAAGGAAGCACACTCACCACAAATCATGCTCTGCATAGGTTGGTGAGTGTACAGTTATTATCGTCCAATAGAACATCACATTTTTTTACCTTGTTCAAAATATGTGAAAGAATGCAAAAATGTCAATATTCTCATGTAGCTATATAAGTTTTTATGTATTAGTTTATATTTTAGTTCGAGTAGTGATACTGGAGTAAACAGACTGAGGTGCTGGGGACTCAAGGATGCTACTGTGTTCCTCAAGTCATTTGGAGAGCAGTTGGTAAAATCCCTTCCGTACACCGCCTTTACACCACCCTGTGCCCCTGGGATTACTCTTTGATTAGAAAAAGGAAGCATGCTCACCACAAATCATGCTCTGCATAGGTTGGTGAGTGTACAGTTATTATCGTCCAATAGAACATCACATTTTTTTACCTTGGTAAAATAGATTTAAGAAGTACATAAACTTAGTTGTCAGTTTACTGAAGTGGAAGTGATAAGTAAATCTAGGTATCAGTCTCATTAAGTATTATTTATTTACAATTACCTGTGGAAAATTTTGATTTTTGGTGTGGTTTTTTCTGTTTATGGGTTTTGTTTTGTGGTGGTTGGTTTTGGTTGGTTTTTTTTTACTTTTCCCAGTATGATCCATGGATTTTTGATTGCTTCTACCGGAAAAATGGAAAGAGATGATACAAAAAGCAAGCAAGCTGGTTCTTTTTTTTTTAAAAAAAAATCTTTCTTGTATGCAAATTCTAGTAAGTTAATTTTAATCTGGAAGTAAAGTATCTGTTTAAATTAATTTTCCACAAATGTGGAAAACCTTAGCTTACAGAGTTTCTGTGCATCTGTGAACACTTGTAGTTAAGCATGTTCAAAATAAATTGTAGATGTGCATATTAGGCGTGTACAATGTAGCTTAAATAGCAGGAGGAAAGAAGTGGAAATAGTAAGGGAGTAAGAGGGTGGCAAAGTGGAACAAAAGTTATTAAAACAAATAAGGCTTTATTTAAAGTCAGTAATACCCTGTATATGGTGTTGTATTTTGTTCCTTCTGAACTTTTGCTTTTATTACTTCTCTGTGTATTCTTAGTTGCTCACATCCACCATTTTTAATCTATAGCACTACCTTAGTAATTTTCCATTTTCTCTACATATTTGATGTGTTGTGTACATGTTGGGGAACTATACTTCCAGTTTTACTTTATATTCTTTTTCCTACATCATTCCATGTGGTTTTCTGAGGTCTTCATGTCAAAATGTTTTAGTAGGATCATCGACTGCATTTATTTTCCTTTTGAGAGATGTACATAATCTGCACGTACATAGTTTTGCTGTGTGAGAGCTTTGTCTCTCAGAGTAAGTCCTCTTGGATCTTACATGGTTTTTACATTTAATATAGGATCATAACTTCTGTCTATGACATACTGCATGTACCTGACCTCCTTCATTTAGAAGATTCAAAACATCTTCACATACTTGGGAGGAAAATCCCCTTTTTTTTTTTTCTTTCATTTAGGATTTTGAGGCTGATAGTACGTTAAGCAGCCAGGGGTTGTGGTATCCTTATCTATGTACATATATCCTAGATGTATATTTACCTACCTAACAATAACAGTTATAAATCAGTCAGCCAAATAACTGCACTGGATCAGATACTCAACAAGGAAACGATCCATCCACGGACTATATGAGAGAAAGTAAGGAGCTACTCTGTGCTTGTGTTGGTTTTTATTATTTATCTGATTTAACAAACTGCAGGTGTTATCAGTTATTTCAGAAGGGAGGATGCCAGGATAAAAGGGAGGTTCAGTGACACACCTTTATTTTAGTTCCTGTTCTTTTGAGAGAACCCAAATATCCAGTAGTGATGCCAGGCTTTAGAGTTGGGCCATCCCATATAATTCTGGTCTGCAGGTCTGTGTTATGCCTTTCTGTTGCACATAAGGCTTTTATAAGTTTTGGGGATTTGTTTAGAAGAATTCAGGCAGTAGCCATAGTTGGAAGTGTGGTACAGTATGTGTTAATATAGGCCCAGCTTTTTCTCTCAAATATTTATTCATGTTAAACTACTTGTTGTTCTGGCAGATAAAGATACGATCCAGTTTTGGAGAACAACCAGATCAGATTTTTCCATTCTTCCAAAAAGCAAAACAACACTTGCCTTTTAAGAAATATCAGCCAGTTTCTCATCTCTTTAAAATGTTCTCGGTTGCTCACAGGTTAATTTTATTAAGTCGCAGCATTTTGTAAGCCTGAAAAGATTCTACCAATTATATTCTCAACAAACCTCTCGGCGTGATACGTGTTTGCCGAGGAGGAGGGAATACTGCATGGGATCAGAATGTTTTTGTTACTGATAAAAAGCGTTAAGGGAGAGGACAGTACTATTTCTGAATGCTGAAGCAGGCTAAATACGGTATCTTACTGACTTCTCTGCTGCTGCTCGTAGAGGAAGGGAACGTAACGATCCTGTGGATCACAAACGAAGCTGGGAGCCCCTTACTTTTCCCTTCCTGCAGTTAATGTGTAAGGTGCTGCACAGAAAATGTAGCTCGTAGCTCTGAGAGGTGGGTTGTTCAAGTTCTGTTGATCTTTCATAGTATTAGTTGGATTTTTCTTTTGTTTTGGGTGGTTTTTTTTAGCCCCCTTGGGCTGCTTGCTCACTCTTTCTCTCTGTTTTCTCTATTAGGGGAATGGGCCAGGCTAGAGAATACATTTTGCTCCTGCAAGCGTAGAGTAGGAGCTGAATGCAGTGTTGGTGCCATCTCTATCTCTGTTCCCCAACTCTGGATCCTGTATAGTGTTGACAGGAATGATGATAAACAGTCACTGTCCCCTGACATGAAGAGGCAATCAGAAACGTAGCTTACCATTTTATATTCTCTGCCGCTTGAATTGCGTCCAGCAAGAAGACAGACTTTGCCAAGAATGGAGCAGTGCTTGAACTATAGTATTTTTAGGCATAAATACGTGGTGGATTTGTTGTTGTTTTTAAGGCGTTTGGTCTTAAAATGTTTTCCTGATCTAAGAAAATGTGTCCTGGAAATGTTTGATAGTTGTTAGGATCAGTTGCTTTTTGGAACTTCTGCTCATACTGTTGCCCCCTTCAGTGGGAAAATCACTTCTGTCTCTTTTGAGACAGTCAGAGCCTTATATGTAAATTTATTTAAGATGAATACTTACTGTTTGTCATTATTATAATAGCGAACAAAGATGACTGCTGCCCTACGAGAGGATGGCAGAGCTCTCCTACTGCAACCTTGCCTAATTAGGTGAAACTTGATCTAGCCTGTCTTGTTCCTGTCACAACTGGGGCCTGTCTTGTTTCTTTAGAACATCTTATCACTGCTCGTCATTACTGCTTGAATTCGTATGCCAGTAGACCAAAAATACTCCATTTAAGTAGTTTTTCACTGTAGTTGTTGCACGGGAACTCTTCTTAGGTTTTAGCTCTACACAATATTTTTATATTCACCGCTATTTGCAACTGTCCACATGAAGAATATTTTAAGGATGGTCCTTCAGAATATTATAAAAACATCAAAAGACAAATCCTGGCTACCAGAAAAGACTGGACTTAACTCTAAAAACTGGACAAAGGACAGAATTATAAAAAAGAAGGTGGGATTACTTTGCTTTTTGTTTATTTGCTGTAAAATTAAACATTTTGAGAACAGTATATCCTTATAATGGGTTTGAGTGTGTGTATGTGAGGTTTTTACTGGACGATCAGAGATTATTGCCTTATGTGTGTTTCATCTGTATGTGAAATGTCTGAATTTTTTAATTTTACCTTGTGTAAGTTGTTTGATTTTTTTTTTTTTAAACTATTATTTATTGCTTTTGATTCAGCCAAAGTGGTGATCTGAGAGTAAAACGGAACAGCTTTTAATTTTTAAACCTGCCATTTAAAAACTAAAGAAATGCGCTGCAAAGAGTTATTTTCTATTATGTCCAATTTCCACTCTGATGGAAGGGAAGCTCTGCAGACTGCCTGTTGAATCCCAAAGGACGTATTCACTTCTTGCTTCTTATATTTTTGCCAAGCCAGCTAACATTGCATCTAACATCGAATGGTTGGTGTTCCCTGAAAGCGATACACTAAACAATCAGTATTTTGTTAATGCTTTCCGCTCGGAGGGAGAAAGCCGTGGCAGTCCCTTCTTGTTTCACTCTCTTGAAAATAAAAGGAAAGAGCAGCACTGATTCCACCTTAAATATGGGTGTGTGCCTGTTGATTTCCTGGTTTCTAAAATGAAAAAGTGATGTTTGGGGCTGCAAATCACCTTAATTCATTGACAAAAAGCACAGTGTTTTTAGTTAAAATTCTATGTTTGGTGGTTGGGTGTTTTTTTGTGGTTTTGCCTTTTTTATTTGCTTGTCTTTTATTGTGTTGAAAAGTTGTAAAAGACAAGACACAAATGTCTGTATCCTATACTTTTTTTGATGAGATTATTTTCGATGCAGTAGGGAGGCCAGGCTTTCTGGAATTCAGTGGATTTTGGATGACTTTGCTGTAGCTGTTGACAAGGTCGAACACAAGACTGTAGAAACACCAGCACCTCCCTTTTTTTAGCCTTGGCCAAAATATTTTCAATAATTTGAGAACACTCAGTTCTGAGATACAAATTCTGTGGGACACTTTCGTTGCATGTGGACTTTTGAAGACTAAGTTGTCTTTCAGGAAAATTAACCCAAAACCTCGTGCTTAACCCTGCTCTACAGCTTTGCCTTGTGTTGTCAGAATGAGCTTTCTTTCAAAGTAACTTACAGTATTGCTAATCCCAGTATGCAAAAACCTTGAATATGGCTTCTCCCTATGTCCCCCACCCAATAAAAGTACAATACTAATTTATTTTTTCATATTTCTTGACTGTCATCTGGTTCTTGGGGCTTTGAGGGGCTGTCCTGTTTTGTATGGTTTGGTATTTTAGGGGGTTTTGTTTGTGTGGTGTATGGTTTTTTGGCTTGGCTTTGTGTATGATTTTTTCTTGTTTGTTTTGCTTTTTTTTTTTTCTTTAAACCTTTCCTTTTGGTGAATATGACATTTTTCCTGACTGGAAAGCTGAAATTCTTATGTAATAAAATGACCTCTGAAGCTGAGTCATCTTGGATTCATTTAGTTTTATTTTAATTTATTGCCAGTTCACCCGAGTTTACTGCAGATTGTACAGGACTATAGTTGTGTTGTTCTTCACCAACACATCTTCCCAAATTATTAGGAAAGTAAAATATTTAATAGTATTTTTTAACATGTTATTCATATCTCATCAGCTGATGAAATGAAATGGGCAGTTAATATTTGAGGACTGTTGTTTCAAGCTTGTCATGCATACGATGCATGATGTGCTGGTTACCTTTACAGGTCAGAAAGATTTAGACCTCTGAAATTGTGTTTGTGATCTTGTATGATGAGATGTGGTTGTAGTGCCACAGGGTTTCCTCCCTCCTTTTCCCTGGGGTCTCTGGGGCCATGCCAGACCCTGGACTGGGGGTCCCCCTTAACTCTCTGAACCATTTGGAGGACCCTGGGTTGGAGATGTGAAGAATAGTAGAAATGTGGACATTATCTTTATATTTTAATAAAATAGAGCTGTCAAAGTGTATGGACCTTCCCTATGAGGACAGGCTGAGAGAGCTGCAGTTGTTCAGCCTGGAGAAGAGAAGGCTCTGGGGAGACCTTAGAGCAGCTTTTCAATATCTGAAGGGAGCTACAGGAGAACTGGGGAGGGACCCTTGATCAGGGAGTGTAGTGACAGGACAAGGGGCAACGGTTTTAAATTGGAAGAGGGGAGATTAAGATTAGATACTAGAAAGAAATTCTTTGCTGTGAGGGTGGTGAGACACTGGAACAGGTTGCCCAGAGAAGCTGTGGCTGCCCCATCCCTGGAGGGGTTCAAGGCCAGGCTGGATGGGGCTTTGAGCAACCTGGTCTGGTGGGAGGTGTCCCTGCCCATGGCAGGGGGTTGGAACTGGATGATCTTTAAGGTCCCTTCCAACCCAAACCATTCTATGATTCTATGAAATGGGTTTCAGGAGAGATGACTTCACCTTGTAGCTATTGTTTTGATCTGGAGTCTTGCTGTCCCCTGAACTTGTGACTTTCCTGCGTGTTACTGGTGTTCCATGCGTTTGCAAATGCAGTCTCTGCTGCAGGTTTCTAAAAAGAGTTTGGCAAGAATCCATTGTTTAAGGAATTCTTACATTAATATGCCTAAACAACTATTACAATATTCAGTTATAGCAGGGGTATTTGCTAGTTTCTTAAGTAAATTAGCAACTTGTTTTACTTTTTTATTTAATAATCAGCACAAGATTGATGTGCCTGCTGGTGTTTGGTTTTTGTTTTTTCAAGGTGCTCTGGATAAATCTCATTGACATCAAGCAGACAGTACTAGATGAAGTTTGTCATCCTAAGATTCACAGACAAAAAAATACTCTAAAAGATAAAAAGGAGTATCGTTAATGAAACCAGCGCGTGTCTGAAAAAGTGTCAGGGACTTCTTCAGAGATGCTTGGTTTGAAGGTGGGTTTTCTGTTCTTGGTTGATAAATGGCAAAGACTCACTTGCAATAGTCCTCTAACAAATCAGAGAAGACTAATTTGTAAGGTGAAAATACTTCTATGTATCGAGTTGTCAAGAATTTCGTAAGGGGTTTAGGAAATCCAGCATCAACTGATTAGAGCAGAGAGTCTTTCAAGAAGAGTGTACAACTTCCACCTTTTAATAGTAGTTGTGTACATCATGAAAGTTGGCATCTGGCCCACAGTCTCTTAGGGAGCAGAACAAAAAATTTCAAAGCGTTGTTCTGGAAAGAATAAAAATCTCTCCATTTTTAAGGTATGTTGCCTAACAGAGGAATGTGCTCAGCAAGAACTTGTCGGTGTACCTAGAATTATCCCTGTGTTCCAAAGTCTCTTACGTGGTAACTAGTGTCTTGACAGTCCTTTAGTAGAATTATTTGCATCAAGGAGCAACAAGATCTCTTGCTGTTTCTCCAGATGTAGCGATTTAGGAATCAAGCCAACAGATAATACGATGCAGGGATGTTGAACTCATTCTGTAGCAAGTGCCAAATTGCATTTTCCACTAGAAAACATCACAAAAGGCATGTTTTATAGATTTCTTTAACTTCAGGCGGTGTTCCTTTGGCTAATAATGTTAAATATTGCACTTGGACAGATTTGTTTTTAAATTAATAGTTTTATTTGTAGTGCAGCCTCTTTAATTTTTTTTTTTCACTCGCCCCTTTTCAGCTATACCCATTTTCCTTTCTGTAGCCGCGTGTTTACGGCCCATCTTTTAAAGTAATTTAACCAAATCTCAGCTGCTGGTTGCTTTTAACAGAACCGCCTTCTAAAAGAAGGAATTCCAGTGTCACAAACAGTTTCTGCAATGTCTGGAGAGCTGGCAGTGGTTTAGTACTATAGATTGACTGTGACTTCTAATATAACGAAGTATAGTCTAAAATCTGTTATAGGATTATCATGTCTAAATGGTCATGTTGCTCTTCTGTCTGAGGCAGATGTGAGAAACTTAAAATTTGTTAGGTCAGTTGGTTTTTGTTTTTGTTTTTTTTTTTTTTTTTTTTTTTTTTTTTTTTTTTTTTATTAGGCGTATTCCTATTTTGCTTCTCTCAGCCTTCAGAACACCCATTGGAGTCCGGGTGTTGCTTGTGTTGTTTACACAAGTGAACTTTGAGTTGCTATTGTTTTCATTAAGTATTGTTTTCCTAGAGCTCTGGAAGGCTTTCAGTTAACTACTACAATACCTGCCATTTAATAATCTGTGCTTCTATCTTGCTTAGTTGAAAATATTTAAATACGTGATGATAGTTGGCTGTTTCCTTCCTGTAGCAATAATGTTGGCTTGTTTCTGTGCCCTACAGAAAGTCTGCTGCTGAAAGAGCAAGAGGCTTTAAATTCCAGATCTACAACTGATGCTGTAGCATTTTATCTTTCAGTAACAAAAAGCAAGTTGAAAATATTTAAATACGTGATGATAGTTGTTGTTTCCTTCCTGTAGCAAAAATGTTGGCTTGTGTCTGTGCCCTACATAAAGTCTGCTGCTGAAAGAGCAAGAGGCTTTAAATTCCAGATCTACAACTGATGCTGTAGCATTTTATCTTTCAGTAACAAAAAGCAAGACTGTCTTAAGTGCTCCTTCAGCAAATAAATATCAAATAGGTGTAGGTTTTTTGTAGTAGTCTAAATTCTGTTGAATGCCTGCTGTCCCGTGTGAAAGCTCACTTACTGAAGAGGGCAAAGGCAACAGTTCTCGAAGTCCTGAGAGGAAATGTCTTGTGTTTTTTGTCAGTTATTTAAGCCATTGCATACACATAGGCCTTATAAAAATGTAGGAAAATCTCATTTAAGGATTTCTTTTAATGCTATTCTTCTGCATTTCTATAAAAGGAGTTAAATACCTTTTTTTTTTTAAAAAAAGTAATTTTTAAAAGTAATTTTATATGCACTGAAGAGGGCAAAGGCAACAGTTCTCGAAGTCCTGAGAGGAAATGTCTTGTGTTTTTTGTCAGTTATTTAAGCCATTGCATACACATAGGCCTTATAAAAATGTAGGAAAATCTCATTTAAGGATTTCTTTTAATGCTATTCTTCTG